TGAAGAAAAGTTGTTTTCTTCGGAGTAAAGACTGGATTATTTAATATTTCGATGAGCTCTCAGTTGTTTATTGATGCCTGAAGCCACGAGAAGAAACGTGAATTTCACGTTGTGTTGTAATCCAGCTCGATCGTGTTCGCCATACTTATTACGTACGACAAAGGAGCGGGGAGGGAGGGGTGTGTATGCTTGACGTAGGCACAAGTGGTAATCACATACCAATTAAGTATATTATGTACAGAACACAGGAATTACCTAAGGACAAATATGTTTAGTTTTTTACACGCAAATAACACATCAACACATATCTGCTACATTCAACATGGTAACACAAGTGACTTCACAACTTCACTTACAACATTATGGTTTAGTGTTTTCTTTGTCTCTGAACAAATTCATTACACTGCTAAATCCAGTTTCACTTTCTTTGAAGGAATAGAATTAAATGCATTTCTTCTTGTACATTTACAGTCTTGTGTAGTTTTTTTTTTTGAAGTCACACAGCAAAATAAAAAACAACGAGAAATTCGAAATACCTTTTATAAGTGTTTATATTATTTGGTAAACGCCCTTGAACTTATTAATTGTACAGTCAATAACACGGAATCATACATAACCGCCGTTAGTTGTAATGTCTTATGGACTTCTCGTCTCGTTGTATTAAACTTGAGAATTTAAGCTGTCTTACAGTGTCTTTAATTCGCTTCATTCCGCTCCTATACTTAGGAGATGTGGGCAAGCTCGATATTCTTTTGTGCATGTTCTGTGTGTGAAATTTGGCTTTCTGTGTCTCCCTCAGAACAAATCCACAAAACATTATGGACATTATTATAATTTCCATGTATAAAATTTGTTCTCTGATATAAAAGAATACTAAAATCATTTTTAAAATGCATTGTAACATGTTACAAACTATACGTGTTTGTTTTATCCCTCAACACAAACAATTTTTATTTTCGTGAAAGGCATTTTATAAAAAGGAAAATTGATGGAAACTGTAAAATAAAACTACTTAGATAAGTGTGAAGTATGCTATTATAAAATGAATATCTTAATTGGAACACATTAATAACTTGCAAAGTTATAATAATCCTTAATTATGCTGGACCGTTGTAAGATAATACAACATTTTATGTAACAAAAGCATTAAAACGGCAGCAACACTCTGTAGTCTTGTTGGTGGTTCACAGCGTTTGTGAATCTATCTAAGCTAATCTAAAGACGTAAGCCAGAGATTTCTTCCAAATGTTGTTAACCGCCTACAAGTCTATTCGGTGGCGTCGTGGCCAAGAAGACCAATATTCATTTCTACCACCGTGAAAACTAGAAATACCACATGTTATAATAAAATACGAAGTGCCTGAAAATCCGCAGATGGGTGCAGTAATATGTTACGTCAATGAAAAGTGAAAATCGAGTAATCCTTGGAACCTGACATACAAAAGTGTGATTAATGTATATGTAAAGTGCGTTATGTGTTGTTTCAGACTTTGATGAAGTTACCTTATAGTGCATTCTGTGTTGCATAATCTGAAGTATATTTTATGTAGCCTGCACGACGTTTCGGCAGAACTCTAATAATGCTACTAGGTGACAGGCTGTCATTAGAGCAACATATTTTATAATTTATATTTTAACAATAGTGACGAAAGTCAGGCTTCGACCACCTTCAACAACCTTCTTCTGCAGTGTTAAAAATAAAAGAAAATCTGTCCATACAATGACAACCTATCACCTGAAGACGAGAGTAGAATCAGCTCCCGAAACGTCGTGTATATCAACTATGGGCAATTTTCAGCATAATATTGGTAAAATTTTATGACGCAGAATTTCAAATATGTGAATAAAAGTTATAACTGTGTCTTTATACACTACTATGACGAATGCTTAATTTGGACTTTCTAATTTACTGCAAATTCTATTTGGCATTCAGAATACCCAGAGCCTTCTGCAGTCCTTAGTACTCATCCCTTTTAAGTATATTCTATTTTTCGTATGCATGTTATTTCTATTTACAGGTACTTAACTCTTCAAACCTCAGTACCATCATATGTACTACTTGTTTTAACAGTGAGTAATTCTGCATTTTGCACACAGATTGTATGTATGGGTTTAGTATGATTATTACTGTGAATAGAGATTATGTCCCTAACCAATGAATCTTATTAATGGAGATGATATTTTTATGAGATAAGAACAGAATTTTGAAATATTATATAGACAGGCTTCAGCTATGTCATATTTTAGATTGAAGCCATAAAATGAGTAAATACGTCATAAGATAAAATTTTCGACTTCAGTTACAGTATAAAACGACATAAAAGCGTAAAACAGGTCACCAGTACGTGGCCACAATAGTATTTTGCCTGCAAAATGCAATATTATAAGTAACGAACCACCGTAGGGCTCAAATGTTCTTCCTCGATAGATCAAACAATTTGCGTAACGGAATCACGTGTACACTATGAGGGAAACAACTGTTTTAAATTCAAGGATTTGTGCCTCGTTTCCAAACTTTCATTGCAGTACCCTAGTTTTGCAGGAGCAAACTCATTTCAAAAATATCTGAACTGAAACTATATACGTGTTGGGGCGACGTAAGAAGCCCCACTGATAACAGTGTTACTCTTGTCCCACAGCAGTGGGATAAGACAGTCTTTCAAAAAGGACAGCGAGTGGAATGACAATCACATTACAGTTTTTGATTATCGGCTCATTACTTTCAAATTGATTAAGAGTGTAGAGACAAGAGCTTAGACCTGCTTGCAGTGTCAGTTGTACCTAGAAGTTTAATCCACTTTTACTTCTGGAAATTGTCACGTTCATAACCAAATATGCGGTCATCTTTAGCAATACTGACAGAATAGAGCAAAATCAAGAGAAAGAGAAAACAGGGGCAGAAGAAGAAGAAGAAAGAGAGATGACAGGAACGCAATAGAAGAGAAACTACAGAAAAAGATAAGCTTAAGTCATGTTTATATGACTTTACTCAGTTCGTCGAGGCAAAAGCAAGACTATTTAACTACCGTTTCCTCTCTCATATTTTCCGATCCATTATTCACTAATCGTCCTTTCATTCGACGCCATTTTATCTTAGCGATTTAGATCTTATTTAGAAAATAAACCACGAGACCGTCTCTATTCTGATACATATCTTGATTAATACAATTACGAAATCCGTACGTTCCCAGATAGCGAAAGATGCAACAACTTTTTTTATCCTCCTAAATTTTCCATTCCGTTAAGCGAGGATTGAGACACGCAACTTTCTTGAAAATGATCGTCTCGCTCTGAACAGGGTATCACTGTCCAGGAATAGGATGACACACACACACCCTGACCATCGGGAACAACGGATGATAGAAGATATTCCCTCAAGATGAAAATAAACCTCTATTGACTTTTCTGGGTCACCGAGCTCACCTTTTATGTCGTACAGTCTATATAAAGGTCGCAGAAAATCCAGTAGTTAGGGACCTGATTCATAGATTTCCATTAAGGTTGACTGAGAACATTTCAGTGGATACCGTTCTCTTATCAACGGTAGTGCTCAAGAACTGCTGAGTATTTTGTAAATAGATGTATACAAGTTTCCTTGATAAGGAAGTGCAGACGCCAAGAAAGGAGAACATTCACAAAAGCATCAAGAAAGTCAGACCATTTACATAATTAAGACCGATCGAAATTTGTCTTGCTTCGTCTAGAACGGGGGCAGCTCCAATGTTTGGCCCACTTTGGAGTTTTCGGAGCAAACCAGACATCCCTAATAAACAGAAAAATGCAAATTAATGCTCAAACACTCATGGTCTCTACAGAAGAACTGACCTCAATTACGAAATTTCATATGAAATAAATATCTGGTAAATCAACAAATTAAACAGTGCCACTTTCTAATGCAGTAATAAATAATGTACTGTATTGTATATCAGATACAGTTACCAATCTGTCTATGTTTGCACTTCTTCTGCTCTCTTTAGCAGTAATAAATCTTTATATCCACTTTTTATGAAGTAAAAAATAAACAACTAAAATAACCAACCCCTGGTCCGACATTAACACTACCATAACAAAACATAAAAGTGTTAGAATCTGAAAACTCTGGAGAAAAAGATGAAATAAAATATAGATACAATCTTCGCGTTCTCCTTTTACCCCGTCAGCCAATGGACCATGAAATCGACAATTAGCTACCAACAAGAATAATTTTCCTCACCATACTTTAGTTCCTACTGCATTGTAAGACAGTGCTCATACAATTCTTGAGCAGCTAATCGCACCTCAGAATTCTCTTCAGTCTCTTTATCTCCTTCCTCCACACTGTTTTATTGTCTAATTTTCAATTCCCTTTAGCTATTTTGTTCTTCCTGCTGCCAGTCACATCTCCATATTCTCTTCAGATTCCTCGTCTTCTTCCTGCACAGTATACACGCCAGCAACCTCGATCTCCGCAGACCCTTCGGGTGCCTTGGCCTCATCGAGCACCGGTGGCACAGGAGGCGGAACGGGTATGGCGGCTATCTCCATGGGAATGTTGGATGGGAGAATGTCTCCTCTCCTGATGGTGGCAGTGGCTTCGTTCTGATCTAACACACCAGAGAACATGGAGGTGGGCGTACCGCTAGACACCAGGGTCTCTTGAGTCATGTTCCTATGACA